TCCCATCGAAAATCGAGCTTCCACCAAATTCTAATGCAGAACAAATAGATATAAGTGAAAGAGTGACAATATTTATAAAGCCTAACCAGTATCGAAATGAAGCATGTGCAAGCATGTGTTTGTTTATTTTTATGAGTTTTCAACAGTATTTCAGTCCTGGAAATAACCAGTACCAGACCCCACTCCTCCACGGCAAACTGACAAATGCGTCCTCCGCTGGGATTCGAACCCACATCTGAGAGGTCTTTTGGATTAGATGTCGGCGACTCTTAATCAGTCGACCATGGAGGTAGTTTCTTCCCAGCAGAAGCGGGAAAGAAACCAGTAGTAATGCAGAGTGAATTGCCTTACTTAAGGATAAACATTCATGATGACAACCTAACCGGAATCGAACCACGGACTCCTGGCTTCGTATCCCAGTACGGAGCCTATACACCACTGACGCTTTACAATTTCGCCGCAGACGCTCTACAAAAATAGTTTATCAAGCAATTCATACATTATCTTTAGCACCAACCCAGTAATCCGCTAGTCAGCAAGTAAACATTTATGTGGTAGTAAATACACTGTCTCCCTTTAAAGAGCGAAACAAAAATTAGCTATTCCTTTAAAGCTTCTTTTGGTATATATAAAACATAAGCAGCATGCATTTGGATTGAGATACAGGTATTTTGTTTGGGTCTTTAAAGGGAGACGAGTGTGTGATTAATTCTTATGAGGTCCGTCCGACTGAGCCACAATATAGCTTTCGCTATTGTTTATTTATGTAAAATTCCAGATTGTTTGCTCAATCTGTTTTGTCACAAATCACATTTAAATGTTTAATTTATGTGAATGACATAGCAGAGTCACTTACAAGTGTCACACGATTATTTGCAGATGACAGATCATTAGCAGTAAGTTCACGAGATAAAAATCATATTGAAATTACTATCAACCGCGATCTTGAAATTATATCTGCCTGGGCAAAACAATGGTTAATACAATTTAATGCTGCCAAAACGGAAGTTATGTATTTTTCACTGTCAAAAAATAATCGCGATGCCCCCGACATCTACTTTCAAAATACACACATCTAAATTTCGTTCATTCACACAAGCATTTAGGAGTAACATTAAGTGATGGAACATGGCATCAACATATTTCGAATATAACAACATCATCTTCTAGAATTCTAGGTACAATGCGAATGCTTAAGTTTAAACTTAAAAGGAAAATGCTTAATCAAATTTACATATCGTATTTAAGACCGATAATTGAATATGCCTCATTGGTATGGGATAGCTGTACACTTTGTATGAACAGAATGTCCTTGAAAGCATTCAGTACGATGCTGCGCGAATTGTGACTGGTCTAACAAGATCAGTATCAATCGTAAATCTCATACGCGAAATTGGCTGGGTCTCACTTGCAGATAGAAGGAAAATGCAAAAATTGATTCTTGTTTTTAAACATAGTCGAGGCGAGCTTCCCTGTTATTTGAGCGACATCTTCCCAGAAATAGTTGGTAATAATAGTACATATAATTTAAGAAACAACGAGAATTATGCAACGGTTGCCCGACGATTAGAAATTTATTCGAAATCAGTTATACCCTCTTCTATTAAAGTATGGAATAGTTTAGACCTAGATACTCGTAATAGTCACTTGCAGCATTCAAAGCCAGACTTGAAATTATTTTTTCTCGGCCTCAAGCTCCGTCATACTTTCTTACAGGTGACAGGTTTCTTCAAATTACCACATAAGAAGTAGAAATAAGTGTAGCAATCTTAATGCCGATTTACACTATAACCATTTACGCGACAATCCAATTTGTGAATGCGGTTTTCGTTCTAAAGACGCTGACCATTACTTTTTTCAAATGCCCACTGTATACTGATCAGAGATGTACCTTATTTATTAATACACGTACTTACCATCCTTTAAGTGCCTATAAATTATTATTCGGTATCAATAACCTTAGTGATGAAGAAAATAACATGTTATTCCATCATGTTCAAATTTTTATCAAACGATCAAGAAGGTTTCAAAATGTTTAAATCCTAGTTCCTAAAGAGTGCTCTTAATTGTTGTCCTTATTTACTATATTCATACCAAGGATAAAACGGACGGGCGGGAACTTCGACACACGGCTTCTTCTACTCTTTTCATTTTTTTTCTCTATTGTCTTTTTTTTTCTTTCAAAATCACGTTTAGTCACTGTTTTTTTAGCATCATATTAATTATTTCCAGACATTTTTCTTTGATTGCTTATATATACTTTTATCAATATCACTACTATAACGAGACTCACGCACATCTTTTTACCTTTATTGAGACTAATTGGGAAGGGCCAACCCTCTAATGTTGTTAAAACTTGTGGCCCGACCCTTTTGCTTTATAATTAAAAACTGCATCATACATGTAAATTCTTGAAATATATTGTACATAAAGAAAAGCAATAAAATATGATTAAACTAAATTTAAATGTTGCAAAGAATGCCAAAAACCAAAAGCTTCTGATGCAGAAGTGCAAAAATAATCAATTTTCCTCACAATTCTTATGCAATTCAAATGTTATCTTTTTACAATTGACCATGACAGCTCATAGTCTGATTTTGTAGCTCAGTTAGGCGCCTTTAAAAAGATAGGATTGAAAACGTATTTATAGATGCTGTGCCTTCTAATATAATAAACATTCAGGGTCATTTTTCGATGTTAAATTATGAACCGGGGTCATTTTTAAACGTTAAATTATGAACCGGGGTCATTTCTCAACACCTTCAACAGGTGGTTCAAAATTCAACAGGTGGTTCAAAATTCAACGTTGAGAATTGACCCTGTGACCGTTGAAAATTGACCCCAGGGTCATTTCTCAACAGGGTCAAAATTTAATGTTACACCGGCGTGGGGTCGTTTTACACACATTTGTACGTGTTTAACCAAAATTATCCCTCACTCGTCAAACTGTACAGAAGTGTTTCCATAAATGACAATGAATTGCACAATGTGCGTGTAATAGATTGGAAGAGTACATATGTGGGCTCCCGTCTTACCAGGTGTTTCCAGTAAAACATTTAAACAAAATTCAGTCACAGCAAACGGCCATTTTTTTATCCACCGCTTCTGCGACGAACATTCCACCGCCGTTGCGATGGACTCGCCGCATCTGGGAAAGCTATGACCAGCGTGTTAATGTGCCAATCGCATCTTCTCAGCCCTTTCCGTCAAACTTCGGAAATTAATAATAATAGTCGAGGAGTTCCGTTTGCTATTGTGCCTGCATACAATTTACATATAGTAAATTTGATATTTCAGAGGGTTTGGTGAATGTTGCGCTAAACAAAGACATTGTAAAGGCTAATGTGTCAGATGAATATGTTAATGTAGCCGTAGATGGTAAAAGAAGTTTTTGCATTATAAAAGACATAGGGCATGATGTTTGGTGGCGAGTGAACCTTGGTTTATACAAATTTATTTTAGTTCGATTGTGTTGGAAGCTATAAGCTTATTTATAGAAAAAATATACATTGTATTACTAAATTCATTAAATGAGACCACTCACAACTGTCAGTAGCATCTGATACACACGAGATTAGAGTTTTAAATATTTACACGGTCTTTCAATCGCTTTCTACGCCATTAGGCATCCTTGCGTGAAACGTTGCGGTTTCGTTGCTATTGGCCAATCAGAAGATTTGTTAGAAAATATCGAACAGCTGATTGACAATGGCGTAGAAAGGAATTTAAAGACCGTGGAAAGGTTTGAAATTCGAATTTCGCGTTTATCAGATGCTACTGACGGTTGTGAGTGGTCCAACTTAATGTATTTAGTAATATTATTTAGTAAATTCAAGTGATTTTGACCCGTAATCAGCTGACAAACATGTATTAGTCTATGCACAGGAACTTGAAATTCTATCAATATTAATGATAATATCCGAAATATACCCCCTGTACAGTATAAATTTATACTGTATAGGGGGTATATTTTGGATATTATCATTATTATTGATAGAATTTCAAGTTCCTGTGGTCTATGTTTACGTCCGCAATTTTGTCTACCAAGGATTTTTAGCACGAATTCGCTCGTTTCCTGATAGATATTTCATGAACGTGAAGGGCTAGAGACTTGAGGTTGGTCTCATTTGGAAGCTTAATACAAACGTGAAATAGTGATAAAAGCTTTCTTAATTGTCTGACCAATTGTTTTCACAACGGCCCGGGAAATGAATACCTTGCTCGTAGGCTCGAATCTTGAGTTTCCGGCCTTCTCTTAACTTATAGTATATTTTTAAAGGGGGTCATTATTTACATTTTTTTTTTTTGGTTTTTGACATTTTTAAGATGAACACAGTTTTTTATCAATCTGGTCATATTTTTTCTTCCCAGGTCCGATACTCGTGCCTGTGCTCAGCTGTTACAAACTTGAAGCAACAGCAACCTCACCTGCTTGAGCTAAGAGATGCATAGATTTCAGTAATTCGAACCCATTAAGTCGTCTTTTACGATCACAAAGGGATAAATGGTGGCTGCAATTCTGATGCCTCACCCTTAAAGGCAACCCCTCAGCCACAAGGGTGTCGTTGAATACATATAAAAAAAAAAAAAAAAAAAAAACAAAAAACAAAAAAAAACAAAAAAAACGTCACGTTCTGTTTAGCGTATAGTTAAACGGATGTTGCGTCATTTGTCATTTGTTATGTTATAAACGTCAATTTTTTCTGAAGAAGACTAAACGTCAAAAGCTTAAGAAAAGCGTTTGTTTTTATTGAACTGATTATATAAGTTGAATACATATGAAATAGAAAAAATTCTAGTTTGACTTTAATGGGATTTTAATGAAATATACTGCATTTTATTGTAAAAACAACATTCGCCGTATTCATTGTTTACGTCATGAGATACGGTCGGTAAGATAAAAAGAATAAACAAATTGTTCAAATCCTTGCTAATTTATTATCTATAATTAAACAAATAAAGGGCGGTAAACAATTTCAAAAGGATTTTGTAATATGTTTATTGTAGATGCAAATGTCTTTTACTGTCATTTTTTATATTGGCACATGTAATGCTTTTTTTTTAAATTCAAATGTTGCGTTAAACGAAATTGGCGCTTCTTTTTTTTTGCTTTCTTTGAAAAAAAATAGGTTCACAAAATGTCGCCCTGGAGAAAGACACTCTAGCATCAAGTATAATGTATCCGACTTGGCCGTCCAGCAATGCCGTTGATGGTGACATGGGTCAGTATGTAGGTGACGGCGCTACATGTGTGGCTACAAAGACGGAACTGAACCCGTACATTATCATTGATCTTGGAGCAGAGTATATACTGACATCCGTCAAGATTTACAAACAGTTAGATGTGTATGACAATGGTAATGTATAGTTCATATAATTTACAAAACACCTGTGACTTGTTAGATTCAGCTCAAAGGGTGACGAAAAGTACGATCATAAAGGTCGAATTTACGATGCTGGAAAGTCGAAATAACGAAACTACGATCGTGAAAGGTCGAAGGTACGATGATGAAGACACGAAATAATATCGAGTTGTCACCATTTCGACTTTTATCGTACCATCGACTTGTCATCGACGTATCTTCGACTTTTCACTTTATTTCGACTTTTCGTCATCGTGTTTTCGTTGTTTGTGTCGCGATGGCCCTATCGGGACACCGTAGAGATCACTGTATGGTTACGTATTTGTTTTATTTTGCTATGTGTACTTCAATTAAATCAACTTGATTTTATTTATTTATATTTATTTATTCAATCTATTTATTTAATTAAATTATAAATGAATTAATTAATTTATTTATTAATGATTTAATGAATGAATGAATGAATGAATGAATGAATGAATGAATGAATGAATGAATGAATGAATTAATGAATTAATTAATTAATTAATTAATTTATCTATTTATTTATTTATTTTAAGATGAAATCGAGTTTAATATTCAGCTTCTACTGATGGAGAAAAATTGGACCAGTTATGGAATTTTTGAGGAGGATAAAAAGCTGCTGAAACCTTCTGTTGCCACAAGATTAGTTCGACTACAGGTATCAAAAGAGGAACCAGTTGCCCTTCGTATATGTGAGATTATAGTGTTTGCAGTATCCCAGGAAGGTAAGCAGTTTCTGAAAACCATAATCTGATCAGACGAAAAAAAAAGAAAAAAAAAGAAAAAAAAGTTGGTTCTCTGTAGGGCTCGAACCCACAACCTCACAAACTCTTGACAGTCCTCATTGAAGAGTAAAGGAGATTTTGCATACGGCATCTAACACCTTAAAGGATATTGATACTGCTTCTTTTCCGTACTATTGTGATTTCGAAGTATCACCTTTGACACTTCAAATTTGAGAAGTGATGTGGATCATTGGCTTATTTGGTGTTAACTACAATGTATGTGATTGTGTATAAATTGGTATGAAGATTAAAATAGAAAAAAAGTAAAAAAAAAATATGTTATAATGAAAAAGGAAGATTCTATCTAATCTTATATCTTAAGATTTGCGGTCTTTATAGCTGAATGCCACTAGATAAGCCAAATTATTTCAAGAAACTTGAGAGAATGTTCTAAAATTTTAAAGATTCAAGTTATAATTTACATGTTATGTGTTATTAATGGCTAATTTTGCGGTATTTATCATCCCTATTTCTACTGCGTGACTAACACAGTAAAGACTCTCTTTTTTTCATAAATTTGACCTCTTTTTAGTAGTTTACATGGATTGTCAGTGTCGTTTGCCATATGTTAATGACTGTCTTTGTTCACTTCCCAATATTTTACTTTTAAATAAATTTTCAAAATTTTCATGAAAAATATCATGAATCTGGAGGTATGCAGCTTTAAGAATGTGGATACAGATATTCAAGTATTTTACCAGATTCTGAAAAAGTTATACACGTTCAATCCAAGCCATATATGCAGATGAGATTTTCCTTGTCGAACAAGTACAATGATGTCGTGAAAGAAGAGGCAGCGTTTGTGTATTCAGTGAAACAGGAATTGGCTATTTTAACGAACTTTTCCGAAGCCAGCTTTCAAAACATGAAGGTGTCGAAGAAAGGTACACCTGTACTAAGATACAAGATAGATGACCCCTTTTTAAAGATACATTATGTCTCAGTAACGAATAAATTTTTACTTCTTTAGACATGTTAAAATGAATTTTATCATGATTAGATAATGGTTTTATAGCTTGTTCACCTTAAGAAAGCAGCGCTGAATGTTAAATCATTTGTAATAATAGTAGCAAAATGTAAACAATGTTGTATTTCGACTTCCATACAAAGTCCTTAATCAGTATAACTGCATAACTTGCCAAACAGAAGAAAAAACCCAGATGATTCAGGTTATTGGCCAATGAGAAACAATTTTTGAAATTTTAAAAGTGCACCAAAAATAAAAACTTTTGATAAAATTAAAAGCATTTCTTTGACATAATGGGGCTTTAAAGACCTATTGAACATGAACAATTTTAACTTAATCCTATGATTAACAGCATTTATTATTCTTATGTCTATGTGAAAAAAAACAAACAAACAAAAACACCAACTAAAAAGCATGGACCACGATCGGATTACCAGGGGAAAAAAGAAAAAAAGTACATGATTTTGAATTTAATGTTTTACAGATCCATTACAAGTAGAGTTGGAACTTCATTCGACAGATGGCGATTTAAAGAAGCTGAGTAAAATGTTGGAGACGATAGACATGTTATGTGGACATGGCTTGGACATGACGACTGAAGATGGCAGTGAACTGACAATAATAGCAGGTAGCTTACAGTATCACGTGATGTATACAGGACATGCAGGTGATTATATGCTTGCTTTAACGTCAATCGTAACTAAATTACTTATAATTTAATGATATGTTTAGTTCTGCATTAGCCGGTGCTAGGGAACATGGTAGGTAGTTTAAATCTGATATAACCGCCCAAGAAAATGCTCTATCAAACCAAGCCTGCAATATTTTTAATTTTGCGGTGCTGGCCAAAGTCATAGGTTATCTATTATGACTATTCTGTCCAAACATAAATAGCTTAGTGGGAAAGTTATTAATACATTATATTTTTCTAACAAAGGCGGTTGTATACGTGCTATTGAAAATATTAGCTGACAAAGTCATGGCGTTTGGTTTATAAAATTGTTAAATTTTTCATTTATTTATATTATGGAGAAAAGATATTAGAATACTTGTGAAAAGTTTTCACCATGACCTTTGCCTCAATTTTGTTTAAAGTTCTTAATGACTGAAAATTATACATGTAGATGTATTAAAGGGTTCCAATTTAAATGTTTGAAGAGAGATGACTTTAGACACTGAAAGTAACTCTTGCTTAAGAATTTATTTTTAAAAAATATTATTTTGTATCGTTTCAGGATCCCTGCTGTATGGGAAGATGTTGGTTGCAGTCTGCGTGCTTGTTAATGCGATTTTATATCTGTAAATTTTGATAAACTTTTAGAAACATTGAGAAACGTTTTGAGAAACTTATATACACTTAACTTAATTTAGGTGGAATTATGAACGATGCCTTATCATATTTGTTTTAATTCTTTTGTATATACATTGAACTCTTATCTTAGTACAAAATACTCGTTGACTTGTACAGAATGTGTAGCCAATCAAAATTAAAGGCAATCGGAATCGCATATTCAAATAGTGTGTATCAAAAAGGGAGACAACTATTTTGGGTGACCGGAAATACTTGGAAGACCAGTTTTTCAGTTCATTTTTGTTTGGAATGACTGTATTGGTATGTTCAAACGACATTTGGTAGCTATTGTTTTCATGTTTGTGATACAATGCACTTTGAAATATTCTGTTTTAATTTTCTCGTAAGCTTCTTTGGGTCGATAACTATTACTGGTTTCAAGGTTTAGGTTTATTTGAATACGTCAGGGCCCATTTGGGCATGTGACAACATAAAACAGTACATACATACAAAATAATACAAAATGGCAAATAATATGTAAAAACAAAATACTACAAAATGGCAAATTATAAATGGTCATACAACTCCATGATGTAATAAAATTACTGTAATAATTGACTGATAATGGAGGATGAGAGAGAAAAATCAAAAATCATTGCGAGAAAAAACAAAGAGAAAAGACATAATCTAATAAGCTAACATTATTTAAATAATAACATAATATTTTTGCAAAATATGGCAAGTTTCAAAAGGATATCTTTATTACTATGGTTCATTAATTTTTCAAATTTTAAAGCACTTGGACGTTCATAGAAATATTTATCAAGATACAGCTTTCTTGTATTAACTAAATGTGAACATTCAAAAAGATAATAGAATTCGTCGCCTAAAGAGTTACTGGTACATAGGTTACAAGTTCTAAGTTTTCTTGGAATATCATTGTTACATTTATATACTACATTATTCGTAATGTATTCATATGAATTTTCATTATTTCATATAACATAAATTGATTTTGAGCATAATACCATATTTTGAATAGATAATAGATAGATCATTTTCATTTTATTTGATAGCTTTATAAAATATACTGATTGATAAATATGTTTCTAAATTATTATCTCCCTTTTTTACAATTTTCAACATGTGATTAAAGCACATTTTTTTTCGAATTCTAAACTTTCACATAAGTAACTGTTGTTTTCATACTTGTTGTAATTATTTACTAGCCTAGTTTCTCTATGAAAATATATGTATCTTTTGATCCAGTTGTTTTATGTAATTCCTTTCGAAAATTATATATGCTATGTTTTTTAAAAAAATTACATTTATACATACATACATATGCACATGTTTTATTGTAATACTTATTGTAATATTATCACGTTCCTTTTACGCGCCAAATGTAACGTCTATTAACGTAGACGTTTGTTTTGTACGTTTACGTCATTTTTATATATGTGTAGATAAGGTTAAATTTAGCCAAGTTCACTTTTTATAATAAATACGGTAGTTATTTCCCTTAAAGGCCAAACCAAATCTATTGTGGTGTTATGTGTTCATGTTTGTCTTGGTTCCTTTTGTTATGAGTGATTGAACTGGTTTTGCAAGTTTAGTGATGGATGATTGGTTTTGGTATGCAAGTTATTTTTAGATGATTTGGTTCTGGGATAGCTAATATTTCTTGGTAACTGACCACTCCTTTCATTGCAGTCAAAGTGGAAACACATTCTTTGCATTTACATTAAAGTTATTTCATTTATTTCTTTATAGAAATATTTGTATTCTCTATATTTATTTGAAATTAGATCTCATCTATTTAAAGCCTGGTATGTATATATTTATTTTAATTGTAATTGTGAAATGTTTATAATGTATATATTGTAATTATTGTAATTATGAAATATGTAATTCATGAATTTTCTATTGTATAATATTTCTCTTTGTTATTTGTATTATAGTCTTTTTATTTTGTTATAGGTTTCTTCTACACCTGAATAAATATATAAACATCATCAAAGTGTTTATTATTGAAGAAACCCCCCACTACAAATTGGCTCCCCGACGTCGTACAGAAGAAACCAGGCGAGCTGTTGCTGGTAGAGGGGAGAACATCGCTGACCGGCAAATAGACCAGGCCAAGCAGTTGGACCCACCCTATCCGCGGCTACCAAGACAGCAAGAGAAGAGATCTGTACAATTCAGCTGTACATAGGTATACCTCCCACCACCATTTCCCCATCCCTACCCCATCCATTTTTTTATCAGAGCTCTTTCGCGCCACACAACTAGACGAAGACACATGTACATATAGTGATCAGCTGATATTTGTAAATATAGACAGTGTAATATAGGACGCGGAGGAATTTGGAACTCTGAACTGTGATATTTTGTGTTTTTTATTTTTGTGTTTATGGAATTTTTATAACCATGTAAGTAGATATTTTATTCTTGTGTATTTTATATTGTTTTGGCGGTATTTTTCATTTTTTGTAAGGACTATTTTTCTTTGTTAACTTAGGTACTACTTTCGGCCCATATTCTAAATTTTGTGTGACCTGTTTTTGGAAAATTCAATAACAAGGTAAATTTCTTTATATTTATACATATATTAAGTAAATTTTTGGTTTAATTCAGTTGCTATCAAGGTAAATTTTTGATTCTTTCATTAACTAGGACTTGTCATTTGTTATATTTTTAGTAAACACCGATAATGTAATTTTGTCACACAATTTCGCGATCTTTCATATTTTTCTTTAGGTAATTTCGGATAAACCATAAATTTCGGATAGTTAATACTATATACAAGAAACTTAATTCCATTTCGTTCATAATTTGATAAATCTTTTTTGAAAATACCGCTGCTGTTTATTTGTTATCTGTTTGTAAATATCTTTGTGTATATTTTATTTTTGTGTATGTAAATACATGTAGATACTATTTGTCTTAATTGATATACATTGGTTTACATTTAGTTATCTGGGTAATCATAGTAAAAATTAATAGTATAAATACACTTAAATAGATATTTAAGAAATCTTTAGGGTCTTTCAATTATTTGTTTACTTTGAAAAAGATATTTAGAAAAATTTAAGGATCTTGATAACTGTGTTTGTTTACTTTGTGTATTGAATATATATATTACATTCTATTTCTAATCTTTCTATCTTTACTTCTCTACAAACTAACAAATTAACACCCAGAACCAATTCGCGTTTAAGTATTTTTTTTGTTTAAAAGTGAGTGCGGTCGTGTGATTTATTCGGTTTATTTGTTTTTGGCGTTTGTTTGGTTGGTAAGTCATTTGGTTGGACGGCATTGCAGTATCACGTCATCTGGTAATTGGTAATTGATTAAGGGTATTAATTGTTGACATATTTTTGTTTTGGCTAAATAAACACCTTTGATTTTTTTTTTCCCCAGACATTTTAATTTGAACTGCCCATTTTTTTTAAAGTATTTTACTGGTCATTCAAGTACTGGTTACAACCAGGAAATATTTAATATATAAGTACTGGTATTCACCAGGAATTGTTTGAGGGATATCTGCCCAAATATAACTGGTGTATTATATATGTTTGATTATTATTCTGTTTGAATATTGAAATATTTTAGTACTGGTTATCCCCAGGAACTTGTAATGTCCTAGTAACACTTGGTGTACTGACAACTGAATTATTTGGTATCATTTTTTGTTGACCAGTACTGGTTCAAACCAGGAATTTATGAATTGAAGGTACTAATATTGGTACAGTTAGTACTTGGTAAAATACATAGTTACCTTTTATCATTTTTTTTAAATGTGTATTTATTTAAAAACAATTCTGGTAAGAGTTATCAGGTAAACAAAAGCATTTATACTTGCTTTTCATATTGTTTGTGAATGCATCAATAAATTTGATTATTGAGTGTCATTTAAAATAAACTTATTGGTTTTTCGCCATAGGTTAGGTGTATTTCCCTGGTCTATTTTACCCCATATTTCCGCTTCAGTGTCTTATTCTTTGTACACTTATTTATTTTATTTTTTTATTTTCTGTTTATTTTATTTTTTTACTTTATTGTCATCTGTCCACTCAATCCCAGGGTCTATATTTTTCTCTCCATTCATTTTTTTTTATTTTTTTTTTTCAACCATGGAGTCCAGTGAGAAGTACTTATTTTCAGAAGAAGAAATGATAGCCTTTTTATCCCCTAAATATGACATTTCTCTTAAGAAGATAGCATCTATCTCTTATGTTCAAAGTTCACTTAAGGGTATTGAACAGCGTTTCTCTGAACAGCTACGAGGTTTGCAGTCTGGTATCGATAGGAGACTGAATATCATTTTACAAAAGGTGGATTCCCTATCATTTTCTCCACAACCAGATCCTCTTTCTCAGTGTTTTTATACACCACCCCCACCACCACCCCCACCAGTTGATACATTCAAACATCAAACACCACCTCAAGCATCTCATCACATATCTAACAATACCAATCGCAGTTGGCGTGGCCGTGGTAAGGGTATGAATCAGCAGGGCCATGTTGCTGCGCAACAGGGATCTTCTGCGGTTCACCCAAACTAGGGTCCGCCTCTGTTGTTGGCCAATCAGAGGCGGTTATTGAGAAGCAATCACTTGTTAATAGAATTATTGGATGTTCCAATAAGGCCAATATTGTATTTAATGGTATTTCAGCCATAGCTCTAGTTGATACTGGCTCAATGGTTTCAACAGTATCAAACTCATTTTATTTGTCATTGTCAAATAGACCGCCACTGTTGAATTTGACAGATTTCAATATCAACTTAGACATTTCAGTTGCAAATGGGCAATCTTTAGATATTTTAGGGTACATTGAAGTTCCGATAGCTATTCCGGAATTAAACCTTCAGTTGCCTGTGCCTGTATTAGTTGTCCCTGATACACATAACAACATATCTTGTCCTGTGATATTGGGTACCAATGTTATCAGGCTCTGTAAACTTTCATCTACTGATTCAAATTTGTCTCAAGTTTGGCAATCAGCATTTGACAGTTTAGTTTGTAAGCCTCACACAGTCAAATCTACCAATGACCATCCTATCACAGTTGCACCGTATGAGTCTATTTCTGTTAATGGTCTTGTTAGAGGTGTCTCTAGTGATACTAAGCTTGTGACTGAAAACCCTGATGCAGATGTTTTATATATTGTACGGCCACAAATAGTTTCAGTGTCCAATGAAAGCGGTTATGCAAAGGTGCCTGTACGCATCTGTAATCTTACTGCGAGGACATTGACTATTAAGCCGAAATCTAACATTTGTGTGGTTAATGAAGTTACAGTGCTAGACAACCTTGCTTCTTCTCATTCTGTTTCTAATGGTGTGAACTCTACCTCTTCACAGCCAGATATATCTTCTCTTGGTTTGAATGTTGATACTGAGAATCTGTCCCCTCAGCAACTTTTGCGTGTTCGCCAAGTTTTAGGCAATTGGAATCATGTATTTTCCAAGGGATCAACTGATATTGGTTGTACTGATCTCACACGCCATAGAATTGTTTTAAATGATGACACCCCTTTCAAGCAGCCTTACAGGAAAATTCCCCCTGGAATGTATGAAGAGGTGAGGCAGCACCTTAAGGATATGCTTGATTGCGGTGCCATCAGGCCT